AAAATAAAAAAAAGCATTTATTAAATTCCACCAAAAAAAGCTCAATATGACTCAAAAAATAATATACAATTAATTATGGTTCAGTGTTGCATGACAAAGTAATTCTTAGTTAAACTTTCTTAAACTGAAAACTGAAAAACAGCCTGGAAATGAAGGGGGTATAACATGCTGGTACTGAAGATCTTTCATTGGCTTCTCTGATATCAGACCATTGTACTCAGGTTTGCAGCTAGACTAAGACCCCCAGGCCATCCTGATGGTAACAGCATAAATATACACAGACCTTTAAACAAAAATCAAGTATGCAAGCCTCTTCTAGCCATAATGAATTTATAATCAGTGGTTCAAAATGCTTTTATTGGTTAAACAAGTGGAAAATAATTCAAAAAATAGGGTCATTTCTGGGATTGCAGGATTTGGTATTGATTGCTACCTCTGTTATCTCTAAAATATGTTAATAGCTTCACTATTTGGCACCGAAACTAACCCAAAGTACAAACCAAGTGCATTGGCAAGCATGCATCTCTAATAACCCCAGCATATGCAGAATATACAAGTTGGCTTTACTTTTTTGGGTCACAGGAGTAAACCTAGTGGTCAATACAGGCAGACCCCAGTCCTTAGGAACCAGCCAAAGCCAGTCCACCAAGTACTTGGTAAGGGCTGTCCCGAAGAGTGACCCCCAATTGGGGGAGGAAAAGAACCAGTTAAGGCCACAGATCCTTCAACCCAACAAAGACCTGCACCATCTGTCATCTATGCATTCAAAATGAATACTGTGTGAAACATGCAATGAATAAAAAGTACCAAATGCATGGCAGGAGCAACCCCAGAGGGCACATTACCAAGTGCTCCTTGTGCTTTCAGCCCCTGGTCAGACAAGGGCAGTCCTACTTCTGCCAGAAGGCACTAGCACCGGAGGGGTTCCTGCCAACAACTGGGCACAAGCCTGGTGCACCAGGCCAGAATCAACCCAGGAGGAAAAGAAAACCCCCAGCACCCACCTATTACTCAAAGGAATACTAGACTGCCATCCAATGGCACCGTTCTTCCCCTGAAAGCTGATAGGAACAAATACTACACTTGATACTATATACTGATATACTGTGGAGAAGCAGTAACTGACAGTCACTGCAAGGAGATAAGATTGTGAGCTGAGTAATCTCAGTATACAGCTGGCATGTGACAGCCACATTGTTTTTCACCAGCTCTAAGCAGTGGGGAGAGTATATTTTACCCTCACTGCACTTCTCGTTTAATCAAACGTGTTTCAAGCTATGATCCAGTTTTGGCAGCCAGTTGCTCACTAAAGAAGACTGCAGCCATTCAGAAAGTTCTATTTACTGCTTTTGGTCAAATTTCATAAGTAGATCAGTATTGACTTTGAATAACTAAACACAGAGATAACATGAGAACTAGCAGAACCTGAATCTCTGTAGGTAGTTTTTTTTTAACCAGGTGATGAAGTGTCTTCCAAATGATACAAATGGCTTTGCAAGGTCACCAGATGTGTGAAATATTAATCCATTCCTTACTGCATTGATAACATCTATTAGGTAGTTGTGGCAAGGTGGGTGTATGATACAAGCTCAACAACACTTTGTAATTAGACTCCTGAGTCCTATTACTGGAAAAATATATCTGTGTGGTTATAGAGACCTTTCTCACTGCTGCCTTCGAGGTCAATGATAACCCACTTTACAGAAGGTTCCCTGAGTGCATATTGTTAATATTCATGCTTGTGCATGGCTTGGAAAATGTTTGGCCTGATCCATTTTTATAATAAAACTCTTTTAAGGACCAGTACATATAATATACAATATACATTTATGTAGATCATAAGCTCATTCTATTTACACATACACACTATATGTATATATATATATATATATGGCTTGAAAAATTTGGTGTCTCACCAGTCAGTCAAAAATGTCACCAGTCAGCATGACCGCACTATAGACTTGCAATTTATGTTAAAAAATTTTGGGGACAGATAGAGCTTTCTTTTGTGACCCCACGGGGGGTTATTTTTTTTTACTATATAATGAAAAAAAGTACCATAAATGTAAAAAAAAAAAAAGTTTCCCTATGTTATGTTAGAAAACATTTATTCTTACCCATATTTTTAGTAAAACATAAAAGTCGGGGTCACGTCGGGTAAATAGACACCAAACATGTCAAGCCTTAAAATTGTGTGCGCCTGCAAAATCGCTAAAAACGCCCATAGGCGACGATTAAAATGCTTTTACTGCTCATCAGTTTAGTGTTATCAGTGATTAATGGCTCTAAAATTATTGCTCTCACTCCGACGTTTGCGGAGATATGTAACATGTGCGGCAAATAGGCGCAATCATCGTTTTGGCACGTAGGCGCACCTGATGCATATCTGCGTGTGTATGTGGGGGTGGGGACTTTTTAATTTTTTAATTTTTTTATGCTTCTTTATTTCTTTTTTTTTTACACACAATTTTATTGCTATTAAATGGGGGGCTAAGAAGCCCCGTATGGGATAGCCAATTTACATGACAGGTCCTCTTTATGGAGACATCAGGGGTCTCCTAGACCCCTAATGTCACCTAGGGACCCCCAGAGAAGCTGATGAAGCAGAGATCGGCTTCATCAGCTTCTCTAGCTGGAGAGTGACACTGAATGCAGGAAGTGATGTAATGTACATCACTTTCTGCATTCGGGGACTGAGAAGAGTTCAAAGGGAGTTCGTATACTGAACTCCCTTTGATCTCCTGTCACAGAGCCGTGCCCGGCCGCATCGGGCACAGCAGATATCGGGACCGGCAACGGCAGTGACAGCAGCTAATACAAGCGATCGAGCGTCTCTAGAGACGCCCGATCGCTTGACTGTAAAGCTCCCGGCCGTGTAATTACAACGGCCCGCCGGGAATCTGCTCGTCGGGCTCCGCCGTCCTCTCGTCACAGACGAGCAGACGAGTGTATATATATATATATACACACATACACACACACACACACATACATATACACATTTTTTTGTTCTACAAAACTCACAGAGAATTTATATTTTTTTAGTTATAGATGTGAATGTAATCAACATAATGTAAATGGTCTCTACAATACACATTATATTTAAGCAACTTGTTTCAGTGCAGCTTGTAGCTGTACATGAAAGCAGTCATAGATGCTCACTACATATGTCCCTTCTTAGACGCACTGCACTATGTTTTTACCTAATTCATAAGGTGCCCATACACATGCAGATAAATCTCAAAAGCAACAAAGCACCACCTTCTTGTGTGAATTTTTTTAATCTGAATAATAAAAATGAATATAAATACTCACAATTATAAAATTTCAGTCACGCTTGTCAATAAGAGACCACAAGATCAGTGTCTAAGGAATGTTGTGCTCCGACTGCGTATAAAAAGCTGCCTCTGGTCACATCACCATATCATCGTGCCACCGGCTACTTTTAGGCTGGATTTACACGTTTCAGGGGCATACCCCCTTCCTCAGGATCACAGCTTGCCAAGAGGCAAGCGTGATTGAAATGTTATAATTGTGAGTATTTATATCCATTTTTATTATTCAAATAAAACAAGATTTCACACAAGGAGTTGGCGCTTTGTTGCTTTTGTCTTTTATGTATCTCTTGAGAACTCCAGAGTCTCTTTGACGAGCAGCCTCTCCAAAAGCTGTGGATATTTTACAAGAAAGACTAGTGGAGGATTGTGTGATGGTAATCATTAGCGCCAACAGTTAAATCGACTTTTTCTGTGCTGATAAATCTGTCCACTGCTGATAACTGATGCTTGTACAGACCCCCAATCATTTTCAACCTTAGAGAGTTATCACTTTGGACACCACTTGGACAGAATATAAAATGGCGTCATTTTATTTTTATTGTTCTATTCTATTCTGTTCTATTTCTTCACAAGATGGGCAGCATGCACTTCTTTGGATAGCCCATATCAGTCAGAATCAGTTATCTCTATAGATGGCCAAACTATTGCAGATAAGGCAACCCCCCCCATGAATAAATATCATCCAAACAGCAAATATCAAGTTTCTATATGAATTATCGTTAGAAAATATGGAACACCCTACATGTATAATTGTGAAAAAGGAGCAAAAATTACTTTCAGATAAATATTACTATAATACCTCTAGAAATGATGGATAGACAGATAGATATAGACAAACAGATATAGATATGTACTAGCAATAAAGCAATAGATAGATAGATAGATAGATAGATAGATAGATAGATAGATAGATAGATAGATAGATAGATAGATAGATAGAGATACACAGCTGGGTGTGCATGCGTAAATTTCCCAACTGTAATGAGGTATATTGTCTCATTAACTTTAAATTCTTTAAACAAGACCTGCACATTAGCATGCAGACTTCATCTTTTGTGGTTGATGGCCACTGAAAAAAATTTATAACATAATTATTTAACTTTCATTATGAGGGAGGTTAAAATTCACTAAATGAATCAATTGATACTTCAAACGAGATGAGCTGCCTAATATCTGTAAGACAAAAACGGCTATAATTCACTTTAACTTTGTTGATTAAAGTTCACTTTTCTTCTCATCGACCTCATAGGCCAAAGAAACAGAAGAAAAGACAATTTTTCCCCAAATAAAAAAAATGATCAAAAACCGCTTGAACGTAATTTGCAGTCTAATATTGCACCCTTTAAAGGCAGCCCTCTGTGCCAAATATTATAATGTTTGTGCTTTATAGCCACCCACTACATTTCAATTTGGATTTTATGAATATTGCAAATTATAACAGTCACATTATAACCTCTAAAGGGGCTAATTTATAAAAGCACTGTCCATCAATTACACATTTTCCATCACATTAATAAAATGGCAAGAAGTAATTACGCTGACTTCAGAGATGAAGATGCCTTGAACAAATCATTATGCAGAAATTATTTTCTTTAAAAAACTTAGCAGGTTCTAATTACGACCGAAATGAGATAAGGAAATGATCACAAAATAGACATTAACCTGATGAGTTCCACAGTCTCGGAGTACATGGTGTATGGAGATTTCGCTTCTAATGGATCTCGCTCCATAGCATTGCCGCACTCAATGAAAGAGAGGGCAGCGTCAGCATAATTCACAGCTTTGCCAAACTTTTCTATCTGAAACATAGTAGAAAGACACAGTTACTATAAAGCATATAAATTAACAAAAGCCCAGAATACAAATAACATGCACAAGTTCTTGTCTCTGTGCAAGTAACTCATAAAGGTTCAGGTCACACATAAGTGATATTTGAGGAGACACCGGGGAGTTAAATAAGATCTAAAAACAAGTGGCCCATTAAAAAGTTTTTGCGGCAATACTCATTTTCAACCAGGAACTTTCGTGTAGTATTTTTTTCTCCACCACTAGATGCCCTCATTTTTCTGGTTTGACGAACAGCCAGCGTCATACAGTCCACTTCCTCTAAACCGAGACTGTCATAGGCCCAACCCCTGGGGCAGTATCATCACCCAGCCTGAGCACAGAGTACTACTACACTAAGTGCAGGAGAAAGGATCACCCCTGTCACCATTAATAAATAAGAGGAAGGATCTGTGAAGTCATCAGATCAACCAGAATGTAAAAAAAGTCCTATATTTCTGCTTCAAATCACCCAGTGGTTTTGTATGTCTCTTAGAGGATCTAGTAGTATGAATACCTAGGTAAACACACTTCTACAGTAATTATAAGATCTCATTTTCCTTTTGAAGTTTTTAAATTATGGAATTGTAGCAGGAGGAGTGAAGTTGGGAGTACAGCTGGGAACTAAAGCAGGAAACCTGTGGTTCCTAAAATGTTAGGGATAAGTATTTTTCAAATAAATACCCAGACCATCTTCTTTAGCCCCCTAACCCAATCTATACTAGAACCCAACCCTGTGCTTACTGACCTCTTTACAACAGCAGCGGCCTTTTCCCCCAACCACTTGAATGGGGGTATACTCCAAGCATCTCTAGTGCTGGATTACAGCCCCATACACGTCTATAGGAGTTACTGTGCAAGTGTGGCCAGCACCGTAAAAGAGTTTTGGCTCAAGGATATAACATCACAGGAGGCAGTTGCTGTCATTGAGAGGTAAGTATGGAATTGGGTGTGGGTCCTAGCTTAGATTAATTTAGGGGGCAATAGAGGGTGGTCTTGTTTTGTTTTAAAGTGAACTTAGTCTATACCTTTTGAAGGCCCCCCTAGTATCACTTTTCAATGTAATATTACCTGGGTAGATTATGAAGTATAGGCAGCCTGAGTTAGGTTTGACCAAAACATCTGCACAGAGGACTATGCTGTTGCCATATATTAAAATGCAATGTGACATTCAGTAGAGAGTAGTGTGCTTCTAGCAATCACCTCTAATTTTCAGTTGAGACTTCTGACCACTCACACTCTCATTATTCCCTTCACTTAATAAAAACTGACTACTGCCCTGCGTGCTTATACAGTGTATACTAGATTTAATGTAAATTCATGATAAGCGTGTGGAATGTCAGGAAGGGGATTCAAATATACTTTTCTTTATGTCAACTTCAATTGTATTAGATACATAGTTACATAGTATTTGAGGTTGAATAAAGACATTAGTCCATCAAGTCCAACCAAATACAAGAGGAGTGAGTTAGATTTGTTTCTTTCCATTGGAAAGGCACCATTTTAAAATTCCGCACATGACTGTGTAACCCAAGGTCAGCCCCAGTATGGGTCAAAGGCTCATGGTTCAAATATGACCATACACAATCTTATTATTATTTACAGATACAAATAAGCTAATTTAGTTATTTTATATGTAACAGCAGCAGCAGGACAATGCACAATTATCAAATGGTACATGTGCAACATAAGTTTAATTAAAAAAAAACTTGTTCCATACAGCAGTTCGTTTAGAAGAAAGCATGAGTTAGCTGCCAATTTTTGCTCAGAGAAAGGAGAACCAGTGGGCTAAATCCCGCTTCAAATTCTAACATTTTCTAGAGACTCAAGTGGCAATACTTTCCTTCAGTTGTTTTAGTTCAATCTATGTTTATTAGAAAATTTGTCAGTACAAATTGCAATACAGAAAAACAAACAAATATACAATAGTACCAAATATGACATTTGGAGAAAAATAATAAAGCAAGAAAAAGTTCACATGTGGGTCCATACATATTTTTCATGACAGGCAGCCTAGTGCTGGGTGCATACAAACAGCCATCAGGTGGTGTGTATATATCCCGTCAGGGAATATAGACCCGGTGGTCCATCGTATATCAGGGCAACACACAGGTCGAGACTCTCATGCCACATAGCCTGGGAGTCCCTCCGGCATAGATAGAGGAACACTGGGGTGCTGGAGTCTCCACACTCTATGTGTCACATTCAGTAGAGATTGGGCCCTTCGCCACCAGAAGAATTTAAACAGTATTAAGGACATGGCCTCCACGTGAAACTCCCGTGAGGGAGAGAAGAAAAGTAGGAAGAAGGAGGTAGATAAGAAAGTAGGAAAGAAAAGAAAAGGGGCCAGGAAGAGTTGATAAGAGGCAGAGCAAGACGCTGACATTCGCCCACTCCCTGTCATGTTGTCCAGTTCACCCATTCCGCCGGCAGGTCAAGGTGTAAGGGCTTCCACAAAGCCTGCTGAGGCTCGAAAGACCTTTCAAATGGACCAGGTATGCACATACTTAGCACCAGCATCACGCTCCTCGGCCAATAGGCCCTCCATATCCGCTATGTGATCCATCTCCACAGCCCATTCCGCGAGGGTGGGGGTCACCGAAGTACGCCAGTGATGTAGGATGACTGCTCTGGCGGCCGTAAGGAAGTGTCGCAGGAGACCACCTTTCACCGACCGAAACGACCCAGGTATTATTGAGAGTAGCAAGATCTTGGGGTCATTCTCAAGCACTGTACCTGTCACTCTGAGGTATATCCCCAGCACCCCCTTCCAGAAATCCTGTAGCGGAGGACAACTCCACCAAATATGTGTCATGCTACCTAAAGCGCCGTTACAGCGCCAGCAGGTGGCAGACACCTCAGGGTAGTAGCGGTGGAGAACCTCCGGGCATCTATACCATCTAGTGAGCACCTTCAGGTCCTTTTCATGGGCCTTACTAGCGACAGAGAGAGGGAATGGGTGATGGAAAACGATTTCTCCCATTCCGCCTCTGAGATAGGAACCCCAAGCTCCTGCATCCACGCAGATGTATAGGTCGGCAGGGTGGGAGAGACCAATGAGGAGAGAATGGCATAAATAAGAGAGACAGAGTGTGTCGGAGGTGAGGAAGCCAGTAGAAGGGAGTCAAAGGCCGTGGGATCGCCATCAAAACAGTCAGGTCCAGGGAAAGAGGAGACAAAAGAGCGAAACTGCCCTTCCGCTAACCAATTCCCTGGGCCTGTGTCTAAGGGAGCCGCTGTCGCCGGAGGGTGTTCCCGTATAGCCGATATCACCCGTCGATGTGAAACTCTCGTCCACCTGCCAAAGGTGGAGCCAGTCATTGCGGGGGGGAAAGCTGTGCTGCCGAATAGGGAGGTCATCGGGCCTACATAAGCAGAAATGTCATGGAACTTCACATAGCGGTCCCAAAGCTTCAGCGTTTGAGTGGTCAAAGTGGAGATGGTTGAGGGCCTCGGTCTGGTCCCCGGAAGCACCCAGGGTAACACAGGTAAATCGCTAGCTGCGATTGTCTCTTCTAAGCGGACCCATTGTTTATCCGAGGCCTGTGAAACCAGTCCACTATGCGCACCAGTATTGCTGAGGCGTGATAAAGAAAGATATCTGGTGCGCTTGCCCCTCCCCTACGTTTCGGCAGGGCCAATGTCCTATATCTGAGTTGGGGGCGGGAAGAGCCCCAGATAAACTTTGTAAAGATCTGCTGGACCTGTTTCAAGTAGGAAGAAGGTAGAGCTATGGGTAGGGTCTGGAATAGGTAAAGAAACCTGGGGACTATGTCCATTTTTAGCACATTAATCCTACCCAGCCAGGAAATTAACTTGCGGTCATAGGAGGCGAGGTCACGTGTCACAGTTGCAAGCAGAGGGCGGAAATTGACGGCAAACAAATCTGACAGGTCCGTCGGCAGAGAAGTGCCTAGGTACTTCAGTGAGGTGGGGCAAATGCGGAAGGAGAAGTTACTAGCCAGTTGACGCAAGGCCCCCTCTCCCAGGGGCACATTGAGGATCTCCGATTTAGAGAGGTTCACTTTAAAATCCTTCAGTTGTTTTAATGTGCCCTCCCCTCACCCAAAGCTTAAAAATGATGTAATTGCTTTGTAGCTGGACTTCTCAATTTGTTAATTCAATGTATTCTGAGAATCCATCTAAATATCAAAATAAGGGTAAAACAGGAGAGTTTGGTAGGGGTATCTTGCCACTGGAGTGTCCAAAATATAAAAGAAGCCAGTGTCTCGGATTCAATAATAAGCACCCACCCAGTATTGGTATAGCAGTCTTAGGTGGAAATGGAACTTAATCTCACTGAATTAGCAAATCCTATTGCATTAAAGCTAGACTAGGCAAAAACTATTAAAATTTCACCCCACTTCTTTTGGCAGCAAATTCCAAAAGTTTAAGCACCCTCAGGGTGTCCACACATGGTTCAATCAGATTGTGAGATAATCTGCTTGTTTCAATAATCCAATCCTATGTATAAAAAACCAAAGCATAAGTGGGATTTTTTTCAATCACTCTCAATCAATATTTTTATAAGTTGGAAAGCAGAAAAAACTACTTGAAAGGCTGGGACATTTGTGTTGATTTTCTATGGTTATATCCTGTATGGTATTATAGACAAATTAGATCTTTTTAAACCATGCAAACAATTATCAGATGAACATTTTTGATGAGAATAATTTTATTCCTTTATTGCAATTCTATAAATAAAGGCAGGTAAGTTATAAACTGTGGAATTTTTAGTGTGCAAGGGAGGATAGATACTGAAACACTGCATCTCAGAAATATAGTGAACTGGGAATGGAATCCCTGTACAAAAAGAAAGTTTCAACTTACCAAAGCATCTGCTTTATGCTTCAACCTTTTTGCTTCCTGCATGTAATAATCAGCATTATGTAATCTGAAGGGCAAATTAAAATGAAATGTAAATTACTATACAGAAGAGGACTAAAAAGACTATTTCAAGGAAGAAAAGTCATGATTTATTCACATGCAATCATACAAAAAGTGCACGCACAGTCCATCTACATTAACACCATTAAAGGAGAACTATGGGGTTAAGGCTTTTCCCCATAGTTCTCCTTAGGGTAATGGGAGGACACAAACTAGTGTCCTCCCGTCACCCTAAGCTCAGGTGTAGCTCGCGATATACTGAGACGGCGCAGCTGAAGCGGATCTCGACAATTGTGCCGGGATCCGCCCAGCTGTGTGACTGACAGCTGGCTCTGTCTATCTAGAGGCAGAGCCAGCTGTACCCGCCCCTCCCCCGTCCGTTCCGCCAGTCATCGCTGGCGGATCGGAGCGGGGAGGGGGGAATCCAGCCCCTCTCCTGTCACGGCAGAGAGCCGTAGCAGGATCGAGAGGTGAGCGAACGCCGGTATGTGCTCGCTCACCTCCCGATCTACTGAGACGACCTGTGACAGTCTCATTGTCACAGGTCGGCTAGAACTATGAGGTGAGTTAAAAGCACTCACCTCATAGTTCTCCTTTAATACAATCAGACTTGTATAATACAACAGAACACTTCAAAAAAAGGAAGTGCTATCTGGCATACTATAATGTGCATGACTAAGCTTCCAGTACAAAAAATAAGGAGTATATGCTAAAAAGCACAATTATTGCACTTATTGTTTTTTTATTTTCACTTTTTTTCTCATTTACCTATGCGGAACACCGCATATAGAGACACAGGTTTTAAGCATACAATACAATTGGTATGTGCTGACTAGCACAAGACAGTGTGATGGTGTAAATGAGCCTCAAGAGTTAAATACATTTTTTAAACATGCACCCTTTGATGCTCTTACTCAACTTACAAAAACACCCTAGAATCCAGTTATGTATTCATTAAAAAAATAATCACACAAATATGTGTAGTACAAATAACAGAGCCTGTCTTTATATGAACTACCTGCGTTCCTTTGTACAGCCAAATGCATGATTTTGGCATTGCAGCTTGGTTGTTGAACTGTGTACCTGGAGAATGCCTGCAGCTATAAGATTAAAATTAGTGCTACCCAGTTAAGTGGCAAAAGCAGAAGGGAAATTTTTTTATTGTCATGTTTAAATTTAAAGAGCAATTATAATGGTTTTGTTTCAGGAGCCAAAAGCATCACCTGCTGGCTTTAAATTTGAATGCAGCATATTAATATGCATTTCATATTTATCTAACTAAAAAAGGTAAAAAGGGTTCTTCACAAAAGGGTGAAGAGTTTGGAAAAGGCAGCAGAAGTGAACAATCTAGGACAAAATAGCTGAACTGGAAAGTGAGCTGAATTGGAGAATGTTTTCAAATCTGCTATGCTATCCTAGATTGTTCCCTTTTCCAAATTCTTCACCCTTTTGTGAATAGCCCTTAAAATGTTTACTGTCAAGTCCTGACTGTCATAAAGAAAATATATACAAAACCATTTTATTTTCCCTCTAAATCCACTTTAAACACAAGACTCCAGGCACCACTGTTCTCCAAGAGGGGACTGTCAGACATGTGGACCATCCTGAATTACTACAAAGAGGTATTTCAAGGAATATACGGAATTTCCCTATGACAGAAAGGGGTGTATAGTATTATTTTTCCTAAAACAAAAACCAAAAAAACAGCTCACATTAACTGATAGTCTCATTAGAATATAAAATAACATACGCTTCATCAAACATTATCTTTGTTCTTCGAGAATCAGTATTGCCATTGCTTATTGCAGGTATTGATGACCATACATCAGGCTCAATGTGATGTTGGATAGTTTCAAGGCCACTGCTTGGTGGTCTCCTGTGCTCATCTACCTGTAAATACAAGGTAAATAAGTTTAGAATTAGAATACTGCTTGCTCTGACCAATAAAGTATTTTAGACGACAAAGGAGAGAAAGCCAAGTAACTACAGAAAGACAGACTGCACATCTGAGTATGAGGGGGTGATTTACTAACCTAAACACACACACACACCAGGTGTGTGTGATTTTCACACAGCAAAACGTATTTATCAACCAAAAAGTCTCTAAAAGCATATTTCCACTAATGCCATATATGGAAAAATCATGCACATGATGCATATATAATGCTGCTTCACAGTTTAGACAAAAATGGTTAGCTCATGCATTTACATTCCTGGATTCATCAACGCAAGCAACATAACATAGAGCTAATTTACACCACATTACCTTGCAATTCATTGCAGGGCTTTGCACAACACACCTGCTGGGTGTGTACACACTACAAAGGTGTTTAGATTCCTCCCATAGATCATGCTGGGAAGGAACACACTACAGAGGTGTATACACGTTCGTGGTGTGTTTAAAAGGTTAGTAAATCAACCCCTGAGTGTTACATTAGCAGAGTACAATACCTTTCAGACAATCGCAGACAATGAAAGTGGAAGACCCAATGTAATCTTTGGCACATTTTCAGAACCTATTTAAATCTGTATCTTCTTTTAATCAGGCAGTGACACATATCCTAATAAGCGCCAGAAGATTATCAGACTGACTTAGAGCTTCAATCTAAACAATGAAAAGATCCCCTTGCAGCACCACACATTACAGGACAATATGCCTTCTCCCTGTTTTAAGGAATAAGAACACTATGAGGGGAATTTATCAAAACTGGAGCAGACAAAATCTGGAGCACCTGTGCATGGCAACCAATCAGCTTCTCTCTTTTATTTTAAAATCTTAACTGAACAAACTGAAGAGAGAAGCTGATTGGTTGCCCAGGGGAAACTGCTTTAGATTTTGTCTGCTTCAGTTTTGATAAATTGCTCTCTATGAGTTTTGACAATAAAAGCCAAGTCCAAAGGGCAATGATATGATGAGGTCAACAGCAACTACTAAAAGTCAGCCTTTAGCAGTTTAGTCACACTAACCATTTCGACTGTAAGCTACCTTGTGCAGGTCAGTGCTTAATTCACTTAATACTCCAGCCCAAACTACTTTTAAGGTTTGCAAACAGTAGAGAAGGTTTAGAGCTTTTATCAAAATGTTATTGCTATCTATGTTACTATGTGCAGAAATCCCAACCAGACTTTCACTCAGGTGTTGAAATTCTGGCTATTGTAGATCCATCTACAAGTCAACAATCCTTGTCATCTGTTCTTTGTGCGGCCCAACACAAGGTTTCTGCTTCTATCCTTCAGATAATTTGGAAGTTTGTTTCTAATGTCATGTTAACAAAATGTGAAGCATAATTTATGCACATCTGACAATCAATAGAAATTGTGCAAAGGCTACTTCAATAAGTGATTAAATAATTATCAACTATAACAAAAAAAACAACCTTTACCAACTTCCTTAAATGTTAAAACGTATACTCACACAGCTTACTTTAATGTTTGTTGTGCTCCCATTCTTTTTGTGTCTTGAGGCAGTGACAGGAACCTGCACAGTTCCAGTACTGCCCTCCTGAATAAAAGAACTGTTGTCATTGGAATGTAATCTGTGAACTGGCTCATCCCCCAAAGGTGACAGCAAAGGAGGGACACTTTTTTCCTCTCTTTTTTTGGCTGATTTTTTTGTTCTAGAAAAGAAGAGAGAAAAAAAAATACACTCATGTATGTTTAAACCAACCAACCAGCAAGATGTTTTCAATGTCAGTGAAAAGCACATGGAGATTTACCATGTACTAATGTTACAACTAATCATCAGTTGATTATCCTTCAAAATACATGTTTTGCATTAATGGATCTAAGCTTTTTAACACCACTAAGTATAGCCAGAGAAGAACAGATGTGTTATGAAGGTGGGAGACATCTGCTTATTTTCACTTGAATCAACAGTAAGCCAGATGGCATAAGGATCTTCTTCCCCTGATGCATATGGGATGAAAGCTTCATTTCGTTTACCATAAAGAGAGATAAAAGGTTATTCGTCCCAAAACTAATATTGCAGCCCTAAAAGGAGTTCTGTGGGAGTCATCCCCTTGCTTCTTATATCTCTTGGGCACTCCATGGGTAGATCACCCTGTCACAGTTCTTTCCTTTTTTTATGGGCCAACTTGGAGTTATGGGTGTTCCCACCTACCTAGAGATGTACTCACTGTGTCTTTTGCATTCCACATAATTTAAAATAATGAATACCCCTACAGGGAAAAAAGATACTTTGCTTCTCTCTAGGATACAAATAGGATACAAATTCAGTACTACCATAATATACAGTACAATAATACCATCCACAAGGAAATCTGTATTGAGAGAATATTTTGGCTGCCATTGATGACCTCTTTCAAAAGGTGTCCTTTGCCTAGATTGCATGCTAATTCAATGGTTTCAATACTTTCCTAAATGCAGAGCTGAAAGAAGTATGTGGATTAGGAGTTCTTAATTAACTCCGACTTCCTGCATGCTTGCTCTGGGTCAGTGACTCAAAGTGCAGAAGCCAGGAAACTAATATTGATAGAAGGAGGTAAAAATAGTAGCACCTGTATTTCCCCCAGTTTCTTTCAGTTTCAAGTGACCCTACATTTGCTAATACTAAAGCTTAGCTAAGACTGCTCTGAAAATATCATAGAACAAAGCATTAAAGTGACATTAAACCCTCAGATTTTTTAACATAAAACAATACTGTAATGTGTGCCTTACTGTAATCCATGGTAGTTTCCCAGTATTTATTATACATTTTTCAGAAAATGCTGGGGGGGGAGGGATTGAAATGGTTTTATCCATCCAGGAACTGGAATATGTAGTAGATGAAGTCAAAAGCAACTTGGATTACTGTATAATGTTGACATTTTTTTCATTGATGTAATACTAGTAGATCATTATTTTTTTCCTGCAGCAGCCAATAATGTTCTTACAGTGATGGGGAAATAGGCCATTTCAAGCTATCTCAAGCTATTCAGCACTGTTAGTGTCTTTGTCATTTACTACCTGCAACTGGATTTAAACACTCCCAGTGATTTATAAAAGTGACAAAACCTTTCCCTTCCCTTTCATGAAAGGAAAAGCATCATTAGCCGACATTAATGGTAACATATCATTGAGCTGATTGTTAGCTAGCTTTGGACTGTAACTACTCTAAAAATTGAGTTTTAATTGCAATAATAACCAATTATGAATGAATTTATTGGAATAATTAAACATGCTTAATGACTTAATTTGCCAACATGTTTTGCTAATTGAAATGCAATGACAAACAGTTAATAAAGCTGAAGAAGAAGCCTTTCCTTCAATGGATTTATGTATGTAAGGCTAAGAGCTGCCAAATACCTGCATGTCATTTGTGTACACTAAAATATATCTTCAATGTACAGCAATTATCAGCCAGACTAGTCAGAGACCTTTACTGGCAATAATATTCAATACATTTTTTTCTGTATTTAGAAGTTAGATTAAAAAGTTGTCACAAGTGCCAACTGTTGGCAACCTCAGCCAAGTCTATTAACATCCTAGTCACTATATTGCACTATGTAACCTTAAAGTATATCTAAAGCCAATTTTTTTTATTTTTGGATAAAGTACGAAATGGTTTAAAGCCTTGTGATTTTTTTTCCTGCTGTGTGTGAGATTTCCCTTCCATTCCACGACCCAACAGGAAGTGAGTAAAAATCTCCCTAAAAAGAGCGTATATGCCTTTTTAAATAGTTGCCATCCCCATTTCCCTTAAATTACAGGTTAAGTTTCCCATCACTTTCTGTCTCAGTGACAATGGTTACCAAGATAGATTTAGAGAGTGAATCTCCCCAGTGGGAACACAGCCAAAAATAAAAAGCATGAAACAAAAAATGGCCACCAAGACTTAAAGACCTCAAATCTTTACTGAGGTCTTAGACTGAGGTTGTGTATTGCCCTCATATTACATAGTGCTGGTATAGGGGCTTGGATAGCAATAACAACATAGGTTGGATAGAAGAAATATAACACACTGGGGTTTCGGGGACACTGCAGCCCCCTTTCTCATTTTGTCTGTCACCTTAAAAATGAGAACCATTATTTATTTTGTGCAAGCTATGTTATTATAGCAACTAAGACCTTAGTAAAGATTTAAGGTCCTTAACGCTTGGTGTGCTGGCTATTTTTTGTTTCTTCAATTTACACGGTATCACCATTAACCGTGTACCCTACAAACAGCATTAAAAAAATGCAGAATTGATTTTTGTTCAACAGCAAAAATCAGACAAAGGTTCTTCTAAACTCTAGCTAAAACTGAAATAAATGTTGACAAAGTATCAGAATAAAAAGAAAACAGTTCAGGCTGTTTACCTTAGTAGTGGGCTTAAATTGTGGGCTGGTGTCTAGGTAATCAAAGTTAGAGAAGGCAGCATCATGAATAATAACTTTTTCCTTTGGCAAATTCAGCTAGAGAATTGTAGGGGGTTTCAATGGATGCCACAAGGAGTCAGAAGATGCTCTATTACTCAGGAACCATGAAACCATTCCTCCTTTCCCTTGTCTGGTCATTTGTACAACTGAACAGTAGTCTTGTATATAAGTGAACAGCATGCTGCATCCAATAGAGCATTCTAGTTTTAGGTGTAAATAAAATAATAACAACCCTAGGGACTGTGCTTTTTTAAAGGGCATCATCGTTCAGGTGTGCCTAGGGCAGAAAAATGTCTAAATATAGCCCTGAGCCTGTGTGCATTGACCCATCTGTGTACAATGTTTGCCTTCTGGGTTTAACCACAAAAAGCCCTTATGCATAAAAATCGGTGAAGCAGACAGTAATGGAAGGCAATGTTGCCCAAAGCAATAATGTAATGTGTAACCAATACCTACCATCCAAATTCCAACTGTCTATTTTTTAATGCAGGTTAAAAAAAATAACTAATCGCCATTGAATACCTCAGCTTTAAACTGATACTCTGTTATTAAATACTTGAAATTAATTCCATATCATGTAACAGATCAGATGTTAAGTACAATATTGTCTCTTTATACCAAAAATCATCTATCTCCAGCATGACTGTTTTTCTATTTTCATGCTATAAAATATACCAAAATAACTGAACATAAACAGATAAAACATGTCAGCAGAGCGTTTTAACGCTTAATATAAAACAAACAAAACAGCAAACAACAAAAATAATACATATCATAACACTAACATAACTATAAACGATGCATAGAGCAAACATATCATGCAAATAAAAATACTCTGTCAAAACACATATAATTGGGAAGAAGAAAACACTCACTCTTTAGTGCTAGTTGTCCTATTAGGAATTGGAGAGATGCATGGAGGGAGCAGACAGGGGGTGATAGAGTCATCCAAACGTTGTTTCTTGCTGTCACTCTGTATGTCACTGCTTTCAGACTGCTTTAGATGAAATTGATAAAACAGTTTATTAAATGTAATGGCCCCAAGCCCAAGAATTGCTTTGTTTCCGCTGCATGGATAGATTGATGGAAACTGGAAATATAGTAGAAGTCATTTAGACCTGGATTTTTGGAAAGCCAACACAAGTCAAGGCCTGGAGACACAAAACTTAGGGAAGAGCTCTTCTCTTTTTAAATTAGACTTCACTTTTTTGTAAAAATTTTTCATATTTATATAACAAACGAGAATATTCCACTTCCAGTTTTGCAGAACAGGTTAGCAAATTAAAGTTAGCTTATAAAAATAAAGCTATCATCTGATTGCTTTGAATCATATACCTATTTAATTTTTATTTAACATTTATAATGATTACCATAATTATACTATCTAATTTTAAGATAGCATTTAAAGATAGCAAGCCTCAAGGCAAACAAAAGATCTGGCTAGTTAAGTGGTTACTTAATTTATTACACTGAAAACTATACTAGTGCAGACAGGCATCCTATTACAGCTATTGTATATGACTGGTAAAAACTCAGCACATATATACTCATGAACTGTACTGCAGCTATCCACAGGCCCGGATTTCCCACAAGGCCACCGAGGCCCGGTCTCGGGGCGGCAGCGGTGACCTTGTGGGGAAGTTGCGGGCGCCGGTGTAAACCAGCAAATATTTTATAGGCCAACACAGCTCAAAACTAAAATGTTTGTCTCCACCTGCTTCTCTAGGCACATAATAATGGTATCAATGTATTGCCGTTGGATTTTCCACTTTTTTTTTCTACATTTTTAAGAATGCATTGTCAAACAGACCCATTTGTAAAATCTGAAAGTTGCTAACTTAAAGGAGAACTATGGGGTTAAGGCTTTTCCCCATAGTTCTCCTTAGGTTAATGGGAGGACACACACTGGCGTCCTCCCGTCACCCTGGGCTCAGTATACCGTGAGCTGTAGCGGATCCCGACAATTATGCCGGGATCCGCCCAGCTGCGTGACTGACAGCTGGATCTGCCTATCTAGAGGCAGAGCCAGCTGTACTCACCCCCTCCCCCGTCCGTTCCGCCAGTCAGCGCTGGCGGATCAGAGCGGGGAGGGGGGAATCCAGCCCCTCCCCTGTCACGGCAGAGAGCCGTGACAGGATTGAGAAGTGAGCGAACGCCGGTATGTGTTCGCTCACCTCCCGATCTACTGAGCCAGCCTGTAACAGTCTCATTGTCACAGGTCGGCTAGAACTATGAGGTGAGTGAAAAGCACTCACCTCATAGTTCTCCTTTAAATTTGATCCCCATTAAAGTCTATGGTGGTTGAATTTTGAAAATAAGTTCTGTCCCTTTTTAAGGCTAATAGGCAAGTTATTGCCAAAAAGGGCATGGAGAGATGGATACTGGCATGGGGACAAGTACCAATGCAAACAAAGTAAGAATGTAATAAAATACCTTTTGGCGGGGTGAGAGTCCTTTTTTGTGTGACAACAATGGTGAGGGCTAAATTTTATATATATTTGAGCAAAGGAGGGCTGTATTGCATGTAAGTATGATGGGGGGCTGCGTTGTATGTGTGTGTGGTGGGGCATTGTATGTGAGCATGAGGATGTAGGTGGCTACTTTGTGAGTATGCGGAGGGGGCCAGAGGTAAGCGATAGTGACAGATGGGAACAAGATTAAAAGTGGTTGAAGAAGGGTGCATGGTGGGCAGAGTTTAGCAGTAATGAATGAGGGATGTATGGTGGCTTTAGGGGGGTAGCTTCTGGTGAGTGGTGAACAAGAGTGTAGAGGAGAATGGTGCACAAGGGGGTGCATAGGCGAATGGTGGTCAGTTGGTGCAGGGGGGCAGAATTGAGTGGTGGGCATTTTGCTTTAGAAGAGAGAATTTTACAGGGATGAGGTGATTTTCATTTAATGAGGGTTTGTTTGAGGAAGGGAGGGTTCCTATTTTGGGATAGGTAGGTGTTGTGAATGCGAGTGATGTCACATTGTGAGGTGGTTTAGCTGCAAAAACTTATTGCGCTAATTTTCTATTTCTTTCAAACACAGCTCAGATGTTGACAACTAGCTATCAATCAGTTGTTGCAGACAGATGAAAAGGATTTTTGGGTGTACAGATCTGTGTGCACAGACCGGACACAACAAAATGTACCCCAGCACTCCAATTCAATTAATTCATGTACAATTTGTTAAAGTGGATGTAAACCCGACCAATAAGATCTTATATAAGCTTTAACAGCTGGTGATACTAATATAAAGATCCTTTGGAAACTTTGTGTTATGATGTGACAGCAATCTGCATCTGCCCGTCTTCCACAATCCCCTGCCTGCAAATCATCTTACCACTTGCCTTCCCAAAGGAAAAAATAAGCTGCTGTGCAGATTGCCCAGTCATTTTATACTGTTTTTCCAAAAAAAAGGCCTTTAAAAAATTGTAGCCAGCAACAGTTAGGAAATATCCCCTATGAAAATATACATGCAATCACGTAGCAGTGAAATGCATGTGGACTCAGGGACATGCTATAAAAAATACATTGCAGCCAGCAAAAATTATAAAATATGTTATTTTATAAACACACATTTAGCCTGTTATGACTGTAGACAGAGCATGCAATTTATCAACAACAATCCTTATCCTTTGCCTATCCTAGCTAAGCACATTTTCAATATATTTGCTGAAAACCCTGCATTTTTTGTGAGGGGTTGGCAAATAAGAAAGCCCCCATTGCTGGCCATTCTAAGTCACCTGACCTGTTCAGAGTCTAGGAAATTAATTAGTGATAATTGGTGGCTATGAAGGTAAATGACCACATGAGTTCACCGGGGAGAGACAGACAGGAGAGAGAGGAAAGACAGCCAGGGGGGAGAGAGAGGAGAGACAGCCAGGGGGGAGAGAAAGGAGAGACAGCCAGGGGGTAGAGAGGAGAGGCAGCCAGGGGGGAGAGAGAGGAGAGACAGCCAGGGGAGAGACCAAGGAGAGACAGCCAAGAGAGTGAAGAGAGGCCAGGAGAGAAGCCAGGAGAGCAAGGAGAGACAGCCAGGAGGAAGAGCAAGGAGAGACAGCCAGGAGCATGAGCAAGGAGAGACAGCCAGGAGAGATAGCCAGGAGAGAGAGCAAGGAGAGACAGCCAGGAGAGAGAGCAAGGAGAGACAGCCAGGAGAGCGAGGAGAGAGAGAGCAAAGGAGTTTTTTTTTCCGTTGGTGGATCTCATGTAGCTCATCATTTGAAAAGTAGATCTTAACACAAAAATTGTGGGCACCCCTGCTATACAGTAACTCAATTTTCACCTAAAGTGTATCTAAAGCAAAACCTTTTTTGCTATTGGATAGATTAGGGAATAGAGAAAACTTGTGTGGTACTTTTTGTCATCTTAGTCTAATTGGCAGATTTTCCTTAATTTCCTGTCCTGTAGAAACAGCAGTAGAGTTAGAGAGTTGTCACTGGAATAAATGTCCTGCAGAGATTTCCTCTCTAGTCCTGTTCTGTTGACAACTCCAAATTTCCTTTCATTTCAGTCCCAGTGACAGTGGTCGCCAGTACAAATAAAGAATGTGAATTACCCCAGTAGGGAACAGACCACATTAAAAAACCTGACAGGGATTCTAATCCTAACATACTTTATTTAAAACTGCACAATGTTATGGCTTTAGAAACACTTATAATCCTGGTGCCCACAGTGATTGCCTGTTAATCCAGGCTAGATTCCACTATTATGCAATTAAAAATAAATATGCCAAAAGACTTGAAAGGGATGTGTATCAGAGCAATCCATGGAACAGGTTGCATTTGCTTATTACTGGACATTAGCTGTAAAAATGAATATAACAACATGGTGAAGGCCTAGGCAATACACTATATTTAAAGTGTATGCATAGGAAACACCTTTTTATAACTTTAAGATTAGTATGGAAAGGTTAGTACCCCTGTCAGGTTTTTATTACGTTTTGTGTTCCTGCTGGGAAGATTTACCCTCCCTATTTGTCCTGAAGGCTATTGTCAGAGGGACTATTCTTACAAGAAAAGGAGGTGAGGGTAAATTTTCCAATAGGGACTTCTGTGTTGGTGACAACTGTCTAAGAGAGGAGTTCCCCTAACTTTATAGAAATTTCCTCTAACTTCCTGTTGAATTTATAGAATAAAATGAAAATCTTCCCAATTTGACACAGACAGCGAAAATTAAAAAGGTATGGGTTTAAACACATCTCTCCTCTATCTAAAAAAAAATTGGCTATGTATACACTTTAAGGAGTGGAACTACAAATTATTGCTTTCCATAGCAAACCCAAAGACCATGCCTGCCTTTTATTTTTTTTAAATGGGTAAAATTCACTCAGCTATGTTATTTTTTTAGACAATTACATCTTAGTAAGGTGTTTTGCTGAATTAAATCTAATAACCACATGAACACCGCCAATATAGAAGCAATATAATTTGCTTCCTCTGGGTCTTTGGTTTCAGTGTGTTACAATGAACTGCTGAAGAACATATTCCATTCAACTAATGGGATTTAATGAGTCTCCAACAGATTTGACCTTCTTTTTGTGTATGTAGGTCAGCTCTGCTCCTTATGAGCCATGTAATGAAACACATAACATCTATATAATCCACTGAAGATACTGTTCAGGGACACTGAAATACTGTCAACACTAACATTTGAGACCTGGAGGCACAGTCACTTAAGAGCACATTGAACTTGCCTTGGTTGTGCGCACAGGTTATACTATGCAGTATCACTTTTCATTGACTCATTAGCCTTGATCATCAAATACATATCACACTAAAATGCTCTCGTTTTACTCCTGCACATACTAGATATAAATGTACCATATTGATGGCCATGTGGTACACATATATCAATTTTTTTCTCAACCGGGACTATGCCAGAAAAGACTGTTTTATTTTATTGTGTTATTACTAAATACCTTTTTTTGATCAGGCCAACCTTAGTTTATAGTATAAATCCACTCTATAAACAAAAAATGGATAATCAAGATTTGTGGTTTGCATATTTTTCTAATGATTGACAATTTGTCATTTGTTTTATCAATCATTTTTTTTGTACTTTTTGTAAAATTATTTTCCCTGAGTTCACTGAAAGACGCAGCCTTTTGCTTGAAGATAAAACCAAAACTAGTGGATTATAGTGTGGTCTACATGAGTAGGTGTAGGTGATAAGTGTAATAAAAAAGAGACAAATGGCATAGCACTATCTGGTGCCAAACCCCACTACTGCCAGGGAAAGCCAGTTAGTAGTTAGCAGTTCAGTAAATGTGTAATATAGCAATGGCCCAACCATAACAAAAAAGGTGGGGGAGCAGTGTCTCTCAGTGAATTCAGAGAAAATAATTTAATGGTTAGTACAAAAAAATATACAGCCTTTTGATTGAAGATCAAAACAGAACCAGTGGGACACCCACAAGCAGTTCCCAACAAGAGGGGAGGGCAAAAATACCAACAACATAAAACAGGCAAAAAACATGGTTAGCTCAAATTTCCACATGCAAATTACACTGACAAGTATAAAACTTTGTGGCCAAAGCTAGCATCCGCTGATGCAACAACAACTACCCTGTGGAGCTCCTTAAAAGTATGACCTGTAGACCAGGTTGTAGCTTTAATGACTTTTACAGGTGGTTCTTTATGATGAATGGCATAAGCTTGATCAATAATCTGCAGAATCCACCTAGAGATGATAGCAGCAAAAGCGGGTACTCCCCTTACCCAGGCCATCAACAACAAAGAGGCCATCTTGCAGAAGGAAGAAATCAACTGTATGTAGACTCTGTATGTAATAGCTTTAGCAACATCCATGGTGTGCAAAGCCAAGGATGCCAAGGAGCTAGACATAGATTAAAAGAGGAGACTACTTGTGCAAGAAAAGAAAGTCAGGGTCTCAGAAACCTTATGCCGAATTTAAAAGGGTTGCCTGCAGGACATGGTGGCCAACTTGGATACTTGGGATTACACATGTGCCCCCTGTATAAGGGTGTGAATTAGAGAATAATGAGCTAGGGCAGTGGTGGCGAACCTTGGCACTCCAGCTGTGCCAAAACTACAAATCCCAACATGCATCTGCCTCTGGGAGTTATGTCTGTGCCTGTCCGAGCCTTGCAATGCCTCATGGGACTTGTAGTTCCAAAACAGATGGAGTGCCAAGGTTCGCCACCACTGAGCTAGGGGATGTTGCAATACTAGGTGAAAAACTGGCTTTCTCTGTCAGCGTTGGAGTTGGCCACTAGAGGGTGATTATGATATTGGTAATTTTTTTATCACACATAGGATCCTTCTCATATAGATGCCACTATAACCCACTGAGCCTGTTCTGATCCTTAGCCAAAAGGCTCTCAGTGATCGATAAGATTTGGCCACTAGGTGGTGATATGCCATTGGTCATTTTTATCACACCTAGCATCCTACTCCTATAGATGGCATTATAACCCATTGATTCTGGTTTGACCTTGAATCAAAAGGCAAAAGTGAATAAAAGAGAAATTGAGTTTTCCCAATCTTCTGTAAGTCATTTTAAACCATCTCTCTGGATCAAAATAGCACAATAGTGATAATCCACAGTTACATACCAATGATATTACAGGGGAGGTATCAAACAATTCTATATTGCCCTAGATCAATGAAATGTTTTATACTATGGTTCAATTTAGTAAGTTTACATTTCTATAGATTTATAAAATGCCATTCTTACTTAAATGTGAAATTTCCTAAGTATATCTAAAGCCAAAATGAGTTAATTTTGGAGTAGGGAATGGTTAAAAACCTTGTCAGTTTTTGTCTGTGTACTATTAGAGAGATTTCCTTTCACTTTCTGTCATGCAGATACAAGTTAAAGAGAAAAGAAAACTCTCCATAGTGAAGAATATCATACTAACCCTAATGATTATCAAAACAAATAGAGAGACTGATTTTCCTCATTAGGACCTAGACAGCGACATTAAAAAAAAACAATAAAACAAAACAAAACAAACGGTGAGTGGTGGAGGTTGGAGGCACTGGATCTAAATATACATTCAATTCACAGTCAAGATACAAACCATATTTTTGTGTACAAAGTACTGAGTGACCTCAGTGATATTCAAGGGGTATACTGTAGAAAAAAACAAGACCAGACCCAGAACAAATATTGAGAGACCATGAAGAGTATATTTTATTATAAAAGGTCAAAATAAATGTTTTGGGGGTTCCAAAGGACCCTCTTTTTAAGGGCTTAAAATTGTTTGTAGGATGGATGGTCTTGGGTTTTAAATGAGTTATGGATAATTAATATGAGTGTTAGCTTGTCCTTTTCACATTTCATGCTAACATAAACTCTTCATGGTCTCTCAGTATTTGGCTGGTACTCTTGTTTTTTTTCTGTACCCCTTTGATTTCACCTAGATGCCCCCTAGATGCCTTTATGGGTCAGTGAGCTGCTAACCAGAGCCCTTTGTACACATAAAAATGTTTTTATATTGACTGTAAAAACAAGCTACATTTGGATTTAGCATCTCCTCCCTCCACCTCTCACAGGCTTCAATTGCTATCTGTACTCTTATCAGGAATTTTAAGCTCTGCTAAAGAACCTCTGCAAAATATTGACTTGCCCTTTTGATGTTTATGAAGAACTCCAATAAAATATTTCTTGCAGTGGGGCTACCCCTGCACTGCAAGGGTTAAATGCTCATTTGTGTCTATGTCTTAAATGTCAAAGTTATACTCACCCAAAGCTCTGAGCCGCCTAGCTGTCATAGCGCTCCCTCCAGCCTGACTGCTCCTCCCTGGAGCATTGGGATTTTCCTAGCGTCCTCATGTCTATACACAGTGTATAGACGTGATGATTTACGGGACCTTAGACCGCTGAGGAGGAGAGACATTGGAAGGACCGGTCTAAAAAGAAGACGGCTAAGAGCTTTGGATGAGTTTAACTTTTTTTTTTTAACCTAGACACAAACGAACACTTAACCCTTGCAGTGTATTCAGGGTTCTTCTTTAACATTTAGTGTTGTACACATGTTTTTCGAATACCACACACCCTTTGATAGTGGTTAGTTCACAACAGGGAAGGCTGACTATACCATGGCTTAGAAGCAGAATTAGGCTCAGTACTTAGACAGCCATGCCAGTGAGTACCTTCCCAAAGTGTTGTGCTATCCTTGGACAAAAAAAAAAAAGCAAAAAGATGTCTTCTCTTGTGCAGAGATTATTGAGGCATAAATATAGGTAAAATGTACTCAAAAATGTACGAGCGGCCCTAAACAAGAGGGGCGGGCCCCCCAAAACGCGTTCATCCGCATTAAATACTGACAGGTGCCCTGTCAGTTTGGAGGCTCAGTTGTGCCTAGTTGCTAGTGTACATCTGTAGCTCCGCAGACATCCATCTAATCCGTGGTCATGAGACAGGACTGCCTTTACTCCTACATTTGTGAGTATATGTTACCTTTATTTATTCCTCAATAAATCTCTGCGCTAGGGAAGGCACCTTTTTGCTTTTCCATTAGATCTACCGTAAGTTCCCTGACTGATAAAGTGCTGCCACCTGGTGGAGGTCCTATGTATTCACGTGGAGTTTCAGGTACATTGGCGCTGGTGAACTGAACTATTTTTATCCTTGGACAAAGCTCTATTAGAAACACAGCATGCACAATATTAAAGTATCAACCCAAGAATAATTTTGCTTATATATATATTTCTTATCAACCTCCAGTGCATAATATGTGCAGTAGAAACAGTCTCAGTTTAAAGTACAGTACTGCTAAATTCAATATACTTACACAGAAAATATGGAGATAAAAAAAATGAATTGAACCCATGTACTACAAAGTTGGCCTTTCTGATAAAAGTCTGTATGTACTTGTATATCTATCATACAGATGTAACATGTAGTGTCATATAATGTTTCCCATACTTTTCAACAGCAAAAGGTAATATTAAAAACCCTAAAATACGAATATTTTTCATCAACATGGACTACATGGTTCTACAATACTATAATAGTTCTGGGTCTGAACAGCAGCCAGGGACAGGACGTGTGTAAAGGTGGCCATACACTTTACAACCATCGCAAGACCTTAGTCTTGCGATGGTTGTAAAGTAATTAAAAAAACGTACAATCTGCCCATCTTGGACAGGCCAATCGTACTTGCGATCATCGCAAGCCCGCCCCCTTGATGACCGCAATGCTGAACGGGCAGTGTGCGCATTCACACACCGGCCCGTGCGGCATTGATCTTACGATCATGCTAAAAACCAGCCGAAAATCGTACGATTCTCGGCTGGTTTTCTAGCATGCTCCTTAGACAAAAGACGTGCGACCGTACAGTAAAAACGGTTGCACGCCTTCCATACACTTTGCGATTATCGTACGATCGCGGGATTTCCCGTGATTATCGTGCGATAATCGCACAGTGTATGGGCACCTTAAGTCACAGGTACTAATTGCTTGCCTTTTCACAAATATCCAATCAATTTCTTTGTCTGACACATATACTGCCCCCAGCCTTGACATATCAAACAAGCATTACCTGGAAGTATTGTGGGTTAGAGCAAACCTGGGGAAAAGTAAATATTTGAGTAATTTTACTATAACTTTTTGCCACCAGGTAGCACAAAGGTTTTTGTAACAAGTTTAGGTTTGGTTTAATGTTTACTATTTAAAAACAGGACCACCCTACTGTTATTTATTTAATTAGACTAACGCAAAAGGGACTAGTTGAATCATTATGTAAATAAAAACTATACAAAGGCTTTACACTGATAGGTAACTGGTATTGATAAGTACTAATACCTCACCACTACACAGTCATGTTGGCCGCTGCCATAGAAGCGAGACAGTAAAAAAGGTGTCACTTATATGTTAAATAGGACAAAGATGGTTACCCTGATACATATCTAAATAATACAAATTGCTTTATTAATGTATATTTTTTTAATAGAAAAAATTATATATTTGCTTTTTGGAAATACTGTTAACAATTTAGAAATAAATGTCATAAGCAAAAATAGACTACATTTTTAAAACGCTTACCTTGTGCTTCCGTCTTGATTTTGTAGCATTTTTTTCAGGGGCTGTGGCTGGTGTTTGAGGCTTATGTTTAAAACCCGTATCTCTTGCTTCATTCTTTAAAGCTTCACTCTCAAATGTATCTTGGCCTGGTATTCTGGATAAAAGACTGAGATCTATTTTCACCCATAATGATTTGAGCTCTTCAAATTCTCTTAAAGGTGAAAGCAGTTCACTCTGAACAACAGGCAGTGGTGAAAATGGCTCCTCCAGATCATTATGTGTCTGGTCTAGTGATATACTGCTGCTGTTGCTTGTTAAGCTGCTCACACTTAAGATGTTGCTGCTGCAGTCCTTTGGCTTGACCGGATTAATAGGCCCAGTCGTTGAGACCTTAACCTGCATGACCTCATCTTGGTCAGTGTTTGAATCAGATGCAGAATCGGTTTCAATAAATTCCCTAGATTTAGGAACAATTTTATTTGCTCCCCTGGCTTTCTTTTTGTCAGAAGTACTTCCAGTACTAGTCCTTTGTTCCTTTCGTGGTGCTGTTTTAGCAACAGTGGTTTTTGTCCTTGCTTTTGGTGGCTCTTGGTTTTCTCGTAAGTCCTTCTCTTTGGGAGTGCTGCTGGTGGGGTTTGGTTTGTTCCACGTGTAGTCTTCACCGCTAGAAGTTCTTTCAACCCTTTTTGGTTGTTTCTTAGCAACAGCTCTTTGTGGAGTTGGTTCATCGTGGGCTGGTGACTTCTGCTTTAAGTTTTTTGTCTCCTGTGGTTTTTGGGTTACTCTGGTTTTGCTTTTTTCTCTTACAGGACTCAGCAACTCCCTCTCTTTGGGCAAGGAGTCAGGCTGAGGGATAATATTGTCAAGTTCTCTTTTACTGTCTCCCGCAATCTGTTGGTTGTTTTGAGCCTCAGAATTGTTTTCCGAATGAACATCATTTTGGTTGTTAATTATGGTTTTATTGTGCGGATTGACTTTATTTAACCACTTATCCAGCTGCCATTTGTTCGTGGAAGGTGGTTCAGGCTGCAGATAAAACCAAAATGATATTTCAGTGTTCCAAGTGGAATGCGTACCATAAAATACTTTATTTTAGATTAAACTGATACTTTTCTAAGAAACGAGAGTCTATTTATAGTAATAGCTAATTAGTGAGCATGCTGGATGTGTTCATTTTAATTTACATCTCTGCCCTAGAGAAATCTAACAAAACAAAAATGCTAAATAATCCCAATAAATGATATATTTTTTATATTGTGGGTTTTATATAATCTCTCCTGAATACTAAGCAAATAGTGCCCATTGCTTTTATGGAATATTGGATACATAAATATATTTCAAGAAAATATGAAAATAAGGTGAAAAGAAATACTCTGATAATTAGATATGTTTAGGAATGTTGAATGTATGCACCATAACAAGCATAATTAGCAATATGTTGAACAGTTGCAGCACACACAAATTCAAAGATTAGGGTTAAACAAGCATGAAAGTATAACAAAGTCAAAACTGTCACTTTTTAATTAGAGCTTACAACCATTCACCATATTGGACTAAAGAATAACTCTGGCTTTACTATTTAGTCATTCTCATAGGATACTTACCATTTAAACAGTTTGCACCCCAGAGTGTTTTTAAGTAGAGGGTAATTAGGGCAGGATGTTAGTAAAATTGCACATACATTTGCAGCCACACTGTCAACATTTAATTTTGTTAAGCTCTACCAGCAATCTCCTTCACTTAAAGAGGGACCTTACTCATATCTTCAAAATAACAACAAAGGCACCATTAGAAATGTTTAGCAATGGCAATATTCAAACACATACTTATTGATAACGGCAGGCTTTGTATTCTTTGCATACCTTGTTTTTCTTTTCCTCTGCATTCTTCTCACAGTGGCCATTTTTTACCAAGGGCAGAATAATATATCTCCCATTACTTCCTGGAACTCTGCCACATGTGACTAGAACATGTGACCATGCACAGATCATCTCAGGGGAGGAAAACACCTTTCCCTGAGATCTTGTGAGATTACAGATGAGATTTCCCAGCAATGCTCTCCTCAGGTAACCTTCCCAGGATGCAATACTTAGGCACAATTACATCACTTTTGCCAAAGAGAACCAGGAAGCAGAATTTTTTTGTAAATAAAATATGTTTATTAAACTAATAAATGTAAGATGATTTCATATGAGCATGCAGAGCTGCATGTTGATGTGATTTTTAGCCAAAGGGGGTAAAGGTCCACTTTAATACACAAACTGCTGCTTTTTATCGTGTTATCTGAATTCAATGGGAACAAAAACATATTTTGTCAGGCTGTAGCAGAGCAAGTGGTAAGAGGAAGAGATCCCCACAGCAACCTCATGATAGCACATGTTCATATGGGAGCTACTCAACACGTGTATTTATACACTCATCCTGCACTGAAGCAAATTAACAGATTTTAATGCAGCGAGACTTCAAAGCAATGCATTACAAAGTAAAAAGAAATGTAATAAAAAGTGGCATATTATTCAAGGCACAGGACAGGTAAGTATTCTACTTCTTCTTTTACAAGTTTATTTTTGCAGCAGAGTAACTTTAAAATTATATTTTATGAATCAACATTTTAGAAATTAAAAAATGAGACTGACTACATGTGAGAAACATGAGACCAGAAAAAAAAAACCTGAAGTGGGGCATGGATAAGGGGGAAAGTGGGGGAGGAGCTGAACTCTTAGAGCCCTTAAGGGCCCATTTAAACCAAAGCATGGTGCACTGCAATGCACTTATTTTCATGTTCTGAGGAACGCTGTGTAAGGTAGTCTTTTTTTTTTAATTGTCTGTCAATGTACTTCAATGCATTAAAAAATGGATACTGCAGCAATTTCCAAATGCAGAACTTCTGCATTTGTGTCTTGTGGTATGCTAAATCATAGATGCATTGCAGTGCACTGTAGATGTGCTTTGGAATGCAATCAACAATGAATGGCAATGCAAGTTAACATACATATGCAGTCCCTGAATTACTGTTATCACACATGTTGTGGTCCGAACGAGCCCTTAATGAGAAAGCAGAAACATGCCCTATTGACTTCAACTGCAGTAAGTGCATGTGTTGTTTTTTGAATATTGACAATTTGAGAAAATTTATGTTTTAGCCTGAGCTGAATATGTTCAGTGCACAGATTAACCATATAAAGCAGTGGAGTATGGGCCAGGGCATTTGGGGGTATGCAAAACAATTCACCAATCAAGCTGCATAGTGATAGTGTCATGTCTCTCTGTGGTGTGGGCAGCCTGGTCACACAATCATTGATTGTTATGGTGATGGTGGCCAGCCCGCTCGCACCATGGAAACACATGATGCTGATCCAGAGCAGTATCTCTGCTGTTGAGTACTGCACCAGAGCCACCTCATCCTCATTCCCTTAAAGCCCTCATTTCCTTTCAAAATCAGGTCTCCAAACACCCCTGAACTCTCCAATACAGCAATGAAACCGGCAAGCCAGCAACTGAGGAACCAAAACTCCTTCTCCTGGGGACTGAGAGGCTGCTTAGGCACTGTCCTTACAGGTTAGCTGGATAATAACATGTGGGAGATGAGAGATCTGTAGGCTGCACATCCTGACCACAAAGTAATACTTGAATTGCAGCAAGGCCCTGTGCCACGCTTCTCCCACCTGCAGAGCATCTCCATATCCTGCAATACTGCCTTTCTCCTGTCCCCTCCATACTTCTCTTCCAACAGCTCTTTCCTATCACACTGCACCCCCTTCAATGCTCAACCCACCATCCATTTACCCTCCACCCCTTCCCTCTTATCAACCTGTATGCTCCTCCATCCTCTCACCCTCCTCCTCTTCTGTCACCTTTCGCCTCCCAGGGTGATTGGCTGACACCAAGGCTGTCCCTATAGTATTTGCCTCCTGGGGCTGTGGTTCCAGGGGAATGGGTTTGCAGGTGCTCTATCTAGATTTTCACTATGGGGTAGATCCCGGACTGAGCTGTCAGTAGCTCTGTCCGGTGTCACACCCAGCTCACCTGTGAGCTGGGCAGGAAGCCACACCAAGTGTCACAGGTTGTTAAGAGCTCTTAGCAACCAGGAACGCTGAGACCACTTCACTCCAACTGGCCGCCCCCAATGAGATGCCACCCGAGGCAACCACCCCAGGCTGCCTCTTTATAGGGATGGTCCTGCCTGACACCAACAATACTATGTGCCAGGGGCATTGTAATAGAAATGTAAGCGACCCCCAAATTGTTTTTATGAACCATTAGCCCATTAAATACAGTTCAGGGCTGTGCGCTACATGTGCTGCTATTATTTCCCCCCCCCTTACTCCACCCTCTGGTCAAAAAGGAGGCTGCCAAGGGGTACACAAGTGAAAAAAGTTTGCGAATCACTGCTATACCATCAGCCAATCTGAATTGTGAGCCTCCATTTTAACAGATACCATGCAACAGCGTTCCTAGGCTTTCAAACATGTGACCAACAATGGAAGAAGCTTAGTTAGGCATTTGAGCCCTTCTGTTACTCTTTATTTATTCATCCCAGAAAGATAGTAGACATAGCTTTATGTGAACATGTGCGTATAGGTCCACTTCACCACAAGCTCTGCAGGAAGAAAACATAAACATATCAACATATCTCTGCAAATTCTAATGTACAATTACTATTTATTTGTAGGATTTATTTTACTTAGTTAAAAACCTATAGGCAGGGAAATTCCTAAAGCAACAAAAGAAAGACTGTTTGTTGGCTGCAAGAAATGTTTGGAGGTTGTGAATTCTGCAAAGGAGTGTGTGTGTGATTGACTGATGGGGTGCCAAACTTTTGTATATGCAACATTTTGGGGGTTATTCACAAAGCTGCCGAGGGCAGCCATGTGAATAACCGACCCAAAGTGAAGTGAGCCGAACGCTGTTCAGCTATTCACTTCAGGCTTGTACGGCTGATTGCAGCCGTACAAACCTGAAATCAGCCATACATCGGCTTGCTGTGGCTGGGTTCGGGTCGGCCGAACATGCTCGGCATGTTCGGCCGACCCGAAGTGCAGAAGGAGTTCGACTCAGCTGATCCAACATCTGGATCGGATGAGCCGAACCACCGGCAGGCTACTCGCTACTGTTTCTCATAGGGGCCGAACAGCAGTGGGTAAATAGCTGACATCCGTCGAGCGGCATTCGGCTCGGCTATTCTGCTCGCTACCTCTGTGGTCCCGAGCAGAATAGAAAAACTGTTCAAAAAAGTAGAAAAATAAATAGAAAACGATTAGCAGAGCCGGAGGTGATATGAAAGCTGACTCTGCTGAGTTCTCATGGTACTGACAGATCAGCGTCCCCTGGTCACCAAGTAGTGACCGGAGCCAGCCATGAGATGATGGCTGGCTCCGCCCAGCTGTCAGCAGCAGGCTGTCGGCCAGCCAGCTTTGGCTTTCACCTCCGCTCAGTGGAGCAGAGGCAATATCTTCGGCTCAACTTAGCTGCCAAACAGATTATTCGGATCAGAGACTCTGTGGATGTCTTTCCCCCAGCCTGTTAGGATTCACACATCAGCTGGTCCTGGCTTCAGCTGATTCACACATCAGCTGGTTCTGGCTCCACATAGGCAGAGTCAGCTGTAAGCTGTCTGTCGGGATCTTTCCCAGCTGCAATGTGTGAATCCTAACAGGCTGGGGGAAAGACATCCACAGGCTGGGGGAAAGACATCCACAGAGTCTCTGATCCGCAAAGGAAACAGATCATTTGGAATTAAATTGCCATAAACGGATACAGCCCTCTGAAATAACTACATGCATGTATGGCTACGGAATTTAATCAGGACTGCCCCCCTCTCGATCGACACGCAATGTGAGTACAGCTCCGATACTCTGTTCCAATTTTTTGATACATTACTTTTGTATCCACATCAGAGACTTCCTGCCTCTTAGGAGATCTATAGATCATACACCCGTATCATTATAATAGGGTGATTCTAGGGAAGCTATTTTAATTGTTTTTAGATGTTTTGTTATAGGTGTGTTCACGTGTAATTGTTCTTCATTAAATTTTGATATAGGATATATTTATTTGTTATTCATTAGACCATCGCAATTTCAGGGATTTCTATTTATAGGGGATAACCATTTTTTGAGCAGTCAATTGAAACCCTGGAATTTGGTGATTAGTTTTGTTTCACACAGTGTAAAACTCCTGTTGTTCCCCTTTTTTCTTAGAATATGTACTCAGTACTTGGTTTGGGCCCCTTTTGCAACACTTACTGCAATTACTTTTGCACGATATTCTAATTATTCGAGTTTCACCTGTATTTGGAAATCCTAGAAACATGACAGTGAGTGCTGATAGCTATGATCAAGATATTCAATCCTAAAATGTGGATAGTGTATAATTATTCTTTCCAAGGTATAGATGAGACATTGGATACAAGTTTTTTTCGAACTATGTTTTGTCCCGCTGTTTTTACCTCTGCGGTTACATTACGATTTTCTTCATTACATTCACTGTCGCTTGAACTGCTCTCGCTGTCAGAATCTGATTCAGAGCTCGTCTCTGATTCACTGGAACTTCCAGAGGCTCCACTGGAGTTCACCAAGCTGGAATTATGAGCCACTGGTAGGGGAAGGCCGCTGGGGGAGCAAACAAATTATCTATTAATGTCTGAGGAACCAACAGGTCTGCAGTTGATGCAAAACCAAATATAAAACATGTATCTGTCCACATACAAAACAAAATCATAAAGTAAAACAATGCAGAAATCACTTTCAGTTTTAATTCATGTTTCTTATGCTCTGTAATCAACACTTGCGGCACCTTATATTTAAACTCCAACACATTTGCAAAGAGATGTGTATGGCCCTTAAAATAGCTTTGCCAAGAGCTAATTTTATATCACATTGTAGAATTAATCCAAATATTAGCAGGCTTGGAATATCTGAAACGTAACTTAAAGTATGTTAAATTTAAAGTGAACCTGTAATGGAGAAGGTAAATACAACATACCTTGGGTGTTGTATAAAAGACATTACAAGGTATGTCTGCATACCTTTCTTTTCTCAGTGTTTCCCCACAGTTAGTATCCCCAAAGCACTTCTGCAAGTCTGAGCTTCCAGCTATGGGCAACATAGTATGCCCATCCCACCGCCTGCATGCCAGTGTGTTCACCTGAACAACTAATCAGCAAGCTCAAGTGCTGTAATATGGTGGAAGTTTTGACAAGCTGATACCAAACTGACTTTCTTTGTATAAGGTTTTAGAGAGCTGCAAAATGAAAGGGATATTGGGATACTATTGTTTGATTGGCCAAAAGATAATCTCCTTCACAAGAGCCCTTCTTAAAGAGTCAGTGAATGGCTCCCCATGGCCATGATATTATTGCCCAAGCCTGTCTTACTTGCAGGTTATCCACCTCAAATTGAGTAGTTTAAATAGTCTTAAGTTGTCTTCGTAAATACTCTATTAAATATACCACATCTCAAATCAGTAAAGAAAAATAAACCTCTGAAGCAAACTGAACACAAATCTGCAGGTCATATAAAATATTCAGGCTTATTGGAATGTAGAACTGAATTAAAGTCAATTGACAGAAATAGGAAATAAACACCAAGTGTACTTTACTCATGCCATGTACTTTATAACTGATACATAAAGCCTCATAACTTTTGATGTACAAAAAGCTTCACCAACACTTTACATTAAATATTTTATGGCTGCACTGCTTACATGTAAATCTCCAATATTTCTATATTTGAATGAAAGAAACAGCTGCTAACAGTTTCTTAAATTTTAATCTCTACAACTTGCTATAAATTCTCTGGAACATTGTCAGAAGTGTCATTTTGGCAGCATTAAAAGATTATAGGAAGAGACAGCCTTCTCTGATAAATATACTGGAGAAAACCATATAAAGCATGCACATGATGTATTTCACGGAAAATCATATTTGTCAAGATTATGTTTTACAAGACGTAATAATAATCTGCTGCATCAGGTTATTAAAAGTGGTATTGCTTCAAGTTGCCACAGTCATGAATGTGCCACTTGGAATGCAAACATGCAAATACACTGGAAGAGGTCACAGTTAAATGAAAACCATAACTTTAGGGATACACCGTTGAAGAAGACAAAAGTGTAAATGCAGTGTAAAATTTCCAGGAAGTCACAAGGAATCCAAAAAAAGATCTTCAGACTTATTTTGGTTGAACAAAGTTTAGTGTTCATGACTCCGCAATCAGGAAGACATTGGACAAAAAAAGGCTTCACTGTGAGTAGAAGTAGTCAATGCTAACCAAGAACATCAATATTTATCTCCATTACTGGCATGGAACCTCCTAAAAAACATTAAATACTTTTATACTTTTAAATTGTTTTTAATGGAAAGGAAAGAGCATAGTGGACTTTTCTGAAAAACATGGGTGCTATCAATACGTAATGTGTATAAAGACGCAACAAATAATGCCATCACATTCAGTAGTCATATTTGGTGGTATAGGGATATTTTGCCATACTGAAAGGAACCATGAATTCTGCTCTGCATCTTCTGATGATCTGCTAAGGGACACAGCAGCACAAGGAATTGCAATACAAGCAGCAACATGATTAGGAAAACCATTTGAAGTACAAATGTTTTTAAACTATCAGACTGCTAAGAAAAATTTCTTTAAGTACAATTAAACCTTCGTTGTTTTTTTTGGTTTTTTTTTTGGGGGGGGGGTGTTGCATATATCTACTGCTAGCAAACAATAGATATATGCAAAAACATAAAGCAAGTTATCAAACAGGTAAAATCTTACCTGTGTCTCTGCCGCTCACTCCCGTACGAAGATCTGAAGATTCTTGAGCGGCTGTGAAGGATCATGGGGCGGGCGCATGCGCAGCAGAGATCTTCGGCCGGGAGAAGAGGAGAGACACAGGGTAAGTCAATGCACGCAGTCAGCAGCGTGCATGCGGACAGACACCTTGGGCCCCGAGGAGTCTGTGCTGGATCAGAGACCGGCACCAGCGATGGAGGGACTCCTGAAAACTACTGGAGAGAAGAAGATGATCGGATCAAGAGGCATCATTTAAGGTAAGTCCTTACACTAGCATTGGGGGTTTGGGTGACTTTAATGTCACTTTAACTTTCACCCTCTAGTAACTTCAACAAGACATGTTTTAAAATGTTTCTTTATCTTCCACAGGTGATGGGTGCAGTAATTATTAAACTTAAAACATGAAGCATTGCGGATACTTGATGGCTATAGCTGAGAAACTTGGACCTAGAGTATGCTTTATATTGAATTATTCTAAACTGATTCATAGCACAATAGTAAGATTGACTTGAAAGTGTATATGTAGCCAAACCTTTTTTGGTAGTAGGGAAGCGTTAAAACCCCTGCCAGATTTTTTGCTTGCTGTATACCATTGAGGAAATTTCCCTTCACTTCCCATAGATACAACAGGTAAAATATATCTCCCTAATGTGACAAAGAAAGCAATGAACACCTGACAGAGGTTGTATTTCTCACTCTATTCAAAACCAAAAAAAAAGTTTTGCCTAGAGATACATTTTAAGATGAAAGCTGGAGCTCAAGAAAACACAATAATTAAATTGCTTTGGTGCACCAACACATAGTTACACCTTTGATAAGCACAGATATAATAAAGTTTACATGTGCCATGACTGAAGGAAGCGCCCTGTTTGGACCAGCCATGGTGCAACTTCATTCTCTTGACAAAGGCTGTAATAAGTAAAGCAAGGAAGAGTAGTGAATTATTTCCTGCCTCGCCATTATTCCTTTGGGAATGTCCTGCCCACTGTTTGCAAAGGAAGGCAAAGCGCTGAGGGTTTGCGGTCACATGACTGTATATATCTATATATATATATATCTATCTATCTATCTATATCTATATATATATATAGCTCTATCTCTCTCTATCTCTATATATATATATATATCTATCTATATCTATATATATATATAGATAGATATATATCTATATCTATCTATATATATATATAGATAGATAGATAAAGATAGATATAAAACATGTTTATGGAACATTTGTTAATTTAATTGGATTAAGAAAAGACAGGAGGCTTAGAAGTGCTCTAAGGACATTGGTTTGCATTTTGTCTTTTCATGTTCTACTACTACATGTGTGTATACATACTGTACACATACAAAAATAACAGCTATGTGCTTCACTGTATGTTAGTTAAACTTTCAAACTCCTTGCACTTGTGATGACACCATTCGCCGTGCACATACACAAACATTTATAATAAGTGCTGGCTAAAATAAACTGGCATTTGAAGTAATTGGGACTAACTACTTATCAGAGTTACAACAATCATATTGATTTTTGTGCATTTAATTCTACCCTAAAGATGTTTGAGGATTAATGTATTTGGCGTTTAATCCTTCTTAAACTAGTTACCTTGCATTTCAACATTTACCATTCAATTTCTTTCTGTGCGAGTTGAAATGCTGCAATTATAAAGACAATTAGCTGACAGGTTCTAGTTACATGCATAATTCTAAATATCAGGTGAGACTTTTAAATTATTTCATATTGCAGACACCTAAAAGACTGCACTTCATAAAAATAATAAAGAGCAGAGTATATAAAATAGATGAAATGCTGTACATATCCAAACCCCTGTACCTATCATTACATGGATTAATTTACATTTAAATAGTTTATGGATATCTATAGGAAGAATGAATAATGTGTATGGCTTTAGCAAGCTAAAGCTCCTAACATATTGGGGAAGCATAATAAAAAAGTGAAATAGAAACAAATAGTTTAAACATACATATTTAAAGTGTGCCAGGGTTAAAGGAGAACTATGAGGTGAGTGGTTTTCACTCACCTCATAGTTCTAGCCAACCTGTGACAATGAGACTGTTACAGGTCGGATCAGTAGATCGGGAGGTGAGCGAACACATACCGGCGTTAGCTCACCTCTCGATCCTGTCATGGCACGGATTCCCCCCTCCACGCTCCGATCCGCCAGCGCTGACTGGCAGAACGGACAGGAGAGAGGGCGGGTACATCTGGCTCTGCCTCTAGATAGGCAGAGCCAGCTGTCAGTCACGCAGCTGGGCGGATCCAGACATAATTGTCAGGATCCGCTTCAGCTGCGGCGTCTTAGTATACCACAAGCAGCAGCTCGCGGTATACTGCGGCATCTCAGTATACCGTGAGCTACAGCACTATACCCAAAGGTGTGCTTTAACCACTTGCCGGCCAGGAGCTCTCTAGATCTGAGCGGGTGCCTTTAGACGTCCGCTCGGCCACGCGCCCTCACGCGCGAAATGCCGATATTTTAAAACAGGCAGCGATGCCCATTAATATACAAGCGATCCGCCGGCTATAGAGCTGGCGGAACGCTTGTATGAGGTCCCGGGATGTGTGCCCCCCCTCCGTGGCTCCCCCCTCCCGCTGTAAAAGCTTTTAAAGCATCGCCTATGGTCAATTTTGGGTATGGTAGTTTTTTGCGATTTCGCGGGTGCGCACAATTTTAAAGCATGACATGTTTGGTGTCTATTTACCTGACGTGACCCCGTCTTTTATATTTTACCAAAAATATGGGTAATAATCATTGTTTCCTAATACAATGAAAAAAAACTTTTTTTCCCAAAAT